ATTGTATTAACCTGAATGTCACCACAGAAACTCAATCATAAAAAGTAAACGTTCAGAATCAAAATAAAGAACTTGAGTAGAGTAGAGTAGGCACGATATGCAGAGAAAAACAACACAACATATAATCAAAGTGTTTACATAGATCTTTCACTATGCGAAATCACTTCTCCGTTGGAAACTGAGCTTTCAGTCTTGATGAATCTGACTGTCTTGGAGTTAGTGAAAGTATGATGCTGTTCCAACGGTAGCTGCTCGAGCCAATGGTTCGACTGCATTCATTCCAAATATTCTTCTCCGCACTTTCATCCACATTTTTTTTATTAGTTGTCGAAATTTTGATCTTAATTCTTGTTGATTCAGGAAAATTGTAAATACAATGAGCAACTGATATAATACCGTAAGATATGCTAAAAAGACTTCCAACTCTGCTGAAATACCATTTAAAAAGTCAGGAAAGATACTTCGGAGTGCTTGACGAATTGCCCATGGCAGGTCGGTTACAGCAAAGAGAACTGTAAGTGGCAAAAACTGCATGAAAAGTTTCTTTGTACGTTTCCATGTTTCCTGCATTGTTTGTTGTTTGTTAGCGTTAGTAGAATTTACTGAAAGCATTTTTAGTATGTGCTGCTTTTGATAGACGACGTGTCCAATTAGAAGTAGGTCGAAAATGATGGTGACAAAAACTGGCAACGTGTAACTGATAATTAGAGCAACAGATAGTAATTGCGGACTGGCTGTTAGATAAAAACAAGCATTATTGCAGCTTTTGCTAGTAGGATCATAAGCTTCGTTACTTTCACAAGGAAACAAAACGTGTAAGTAAAAGAGAAAGATGATAAGAAACGTTGCGATCAAAATGACTGGAAAATAGTGACAGAAATATTTTCTCAGTTTAGTTTTCTGTGTAATGTTTGAATGAAAAATGAGCAAGTAACGTTCAGAACTCGCTAAGGCAACTAGCCAGAGCTCAAGTACGTAGAGCGTAGTGTCGAAAAATTTAAAAAAGATGCAGAAAGATTCAGGATTGTGTAAACTTCCAACATAAGAAGTTCCTTCTGCTTGTGGAAGTAAAATAAAAGGTAAATCGATACTTGTTACGAAAATTGAAACGATTAAAAGACAGACAACAGTAAACGTAAAGAAAGATTGTGTAGGTTGTTTTCGTTGGTAAAGAAAATAATGAACCAAAAGACCAACATTGCAAGCGAAAGATGGAATGTTCAAAAGGATTAAACCATAGAAGAATGCTTTGCTTTCTATATTAAATACTGAAAACTGGGACGATGAACCATTTGACGAGTCATTTGCAGTAATATTTGATGTAATAAGCGACATGTTTGATACTTTTTTCCAATAGTTATGTTTGACAATCTTTTACGACTCTTGAAAACTAACTCCTTTTTATCTCTCTCTTTCTCTTTCTCTTTCTTTTTCTCTTGAATAATTATAAAAAAAAATTATGTAGATAAATTCATATAAAATTAGTCAGAGGAAGAACTAATGCGCAATTAATATGCCAGACTTCTATTAAAATGAAATGCTAAAAGCCTGATTTTCTAGATTAAAAAAGCAATTAATATATCTCACTGCTATTGAAATGAAACGCTAAAAGCCTGATTTTCTAAATTTAAAAAGTTATTTTTTCAAATTTTTTTTCTTTCATCTTTCTAGTGCGTCGTTGAAATTTTAAGTTTATATTTAGAATTATGTGTCTTTGTACATGAAATTTTATACTCGATTTTAGTTTATTCTAATCAATATGAATGATCAAAAAAATTTTTTATAAGGGTGGACGGAAGCGTTATCGAGGTCTGAAAACTCGAATCTAAAGTGGATTTTTTGAAATTGTTTGATTAAATAATTTAATGGTAGTGAAGACACATCGTTTCTACGAGAAAGAGATGAGCTAGTCTCCAGACGAGCGTTATTTGTTTTCTAATATGATAAGAAGCACATCACTTGTGTATTCATGCGAAATTGCTGCTTCTCTATTCTCTAATATAATAATTTAAATAGATGAAATAAATACACTAGTCGACGTTCTTGTCCTCTTCTTTTCAGGTTCTTCTTTTTCTTGCTTTTCAGACAAGATTCTTGTGTTCAGGCATAATTCTTTTCGACAGGAAAGTAAAAAGAATCATACAAAAATTTCCAGTTGAAAAGAATCTTGTCTGAACAATCTGAAATAAAAGAATGAGACAAGAAGTATAAGATATTCAAGATATGTTTAATATTCAGACAAGAATCTTTCTCTTTCCTTTTAAAAAGAATTTTGACTGAAGTTTAAGATAAAAAGAAACTGGAAAGAAACACAAGATATTTTAAATTTCTTACTATTTAGGCAAGATTCTTGTAATAGAAAAGAAACAAGATTCTTGTCAGCTTTCCAAGATGAACGGCACGTGATGTAGCCTTTATTTATCACATATATAAAACCGTTATTTGAATGTTATCTATTCATAATCATTATTTATTCGATAAGTATAGTACAAATTCACTTAGAGTATATTCTTTCCCTAAAGTGTTTATTTAATTTAAACGACATCTAGTAAGTTATTATTTCAATTGGATGCATAGTAAAAGTTTATTTCATATCAAGAAAACAATGGAATATATGCTATCCATTTTCTCATTGTTTACTGAAGGCAATCCTTATTGAACATATTTTAATATTTTTCTAATTCATATCTATATATTTTTTTTTCTAGATTTTACACTATCGATAAAAGTGTTACATATAATGAACGAAGAAAATATCGATTTATTTAAAAAACTATTGTTTGATAATTCTCTTGGTATAGGTAAAATTTTACAAAATAAGTAAAAGAAAATTTTTTTTTATTTTTTTTATGTCAAAGACTAAAACTACTTCATGAATATGTAAAATTTAAAGTATTTTTTGTTGTTTTATATTTTTTTGTACATGATGTGAAAAGCTTATAATAAAACGATATGAAAAAGGTAGTAATAACCTAGCAAAGGCTTTTTTGATATGATCAGAATCAGGCAAGAAAATCAAGAAAGACAAGAATCAGGCAAGAAAAAAAGAGAATAAGATTCTTGTCCAGAGAAGAATTTCTTGCCCTATCAGGCAAGGTTCTGTCTACGAGAATCTTTAAGAAAGACAAGATCAGTTTTTTCAGACGAGAATCTTATATGTAAGGAATAGAAAAAGAATCTTGCCAGAAAATCAAGAAAAACAAGAACCTGGAAAGAATAGGGCAGGATCGGCGACTGGTGTATAGAGTAAATGTCATGAAAATCTTATTTTTAATAATAATGGAAATTTTCGATCTTTATCGATCATTGTCAATCAAAAACACGAACAAAATACGAATATATTGATGTTACAGATACTTTTAGTTCATTTATTCTCTTTCTCCTACAGAAGAGTCTTGCAAGAATAAATTGTTTGTTTGTTTGTTTGCTTGTGTGTCTGCACTTCATTGATTGGCTCCACAATTGTGTGAAAAGAAAAAGGATTATTTTCTATAAAGTTCAACCAAAGATAACCGTGGGTGGAAAATACGAATCTTTGGTTAGTTTTTTTTACACAAAGCACCACTTTTTTCATAAAATGAATTTTTTTATAAGGGTTGACCAAAGGGTAATTAGGGTCTAGAAAAACGAATCTGACGCTAGTTTTTTTTAGGATTGTTTTGAGAATGATTTTGTTGGCAAAGAGCAGTGTTTTATAGAAAGCCTTTACGTCTATAATATCGGTAATACTTATGTGTGTAAATGGGTATTATAAATAGGAATATATAAGTCGGCGTCTCATGCCGTAACAATTAATAAACTTTATTCTAAGGAGAAACTTCAGGTAAAACCATTTATCTGACAACAAGACTGAGCTTCTTTCTGGCCTCTTATATTTAGTACTAGATATGCCTGTACTTCTTGCTAATACTATCGTCTGTGGACTCGAAGTTTCGATTGTTATTTAAAGGATTTTTAGAAAACTGATATACAATGATCAGGAGAATTCAGATACCTTGATACTAAAGAGTGACGTATTTTCCTCGAATACAATCTACATACGGAAACCATTATATGTGCTTGTACAACTTAAAATATCACAAGTGGAAACAAACCTCGATGATCTTCCTCCCAAACTAGTCCCTATTTCACTGATAAAAACAATTCAGTATTTCTAACAAGCAACTCTTTAGCCCACTATTTGAACGTGTGGAGGGTGGGAAAAAATCTCATAAATAATGCATATAATAGAATGCAATTACCAATCGTACCTGCTTTCACAGTAACTAGGATGTGGGTGTCTCAAACGTATCACACACATATCTACATCCACACACCCTCACGCTCACACTCACTCACACCTGTCCCTAAAGGATTATAGGGAATACAAGATTCCAGGAATCAGTGCTTTCTTCCTTGCAACTCACATACATCGCAAATAAGAGCAAAAGTAAGTGGAATTTCATTTTCTTTTATTTCTGCTGTGTAATCTGGTTTTTTCCCCACTATATGTTTTGTGCGCGCTAAATAAACGCAATATAGTTGTCCCATAAGTCATGTACATTTCTCTCACAAAAAAATACACTTGTCTCTTGCCATCTGGCATACGTCGCAAATAAGAGCAACAGTGATTCAAAATTCATTTTCTTTCATTTCTGCTGCGCATTTGGGTTTTCTCCCACTGTATGTGTAGTGCGCGCTCTTCAAATCCGGCCCAACCCTGGCACAAAACGTGTATCTATAAAAGCATTGAATTTCATTTTACCTTGAGGGTGTGTGTGGGTGTTCGTGAGTCTATAGGTGGGTGAGTGGTTGTAGATGATTGAGAACACGAAGCAACTACACCAACCCACCCGCTCATTATACCTATTCATTTCAAGTGATAGGTTATGAACCAAGATATAACTGAAGTACAAGCACGATCGTCTATACGATTTGATTAGTTTCATATTCAAATGAGTTCTCATTTTGAGGGTGTATGTGTAGGCGTACGTATGACTATATGCCATGCGTCTTGATACTCTCACTCTCAACTCACACCCACCCTCAAGATCCTTTCAGCTTTTATACCCTTAGTCTCGTTCAAAATCACTATCACGGACATCTTCTGACGATGTATTATCGTCTTTCTCAGAATAGGATTGAAAAGACCAAATTCTTTTTGTCTCAACCACTTGCTTAAAATAACAATTCGCTCTGATGCTGTTCTACAGAATATATTTCATGCGAGTATTTTTTTGCCTCAAATGCTCGTATTCCGCGAAAGCATAAGAATTGATCAAAACATAACTTGTTTTTTTGTTTCTATCGATAGACAAAAATGTTGCTTTCAGAACGAAGACTACAGTTGAGTAGAAGTTTCTTTTGTCGTGCAGAGCTTGAAACTGCTCGAATATCTCGCTTTTTTTTTAACTTAGATTTTATATTTACAATGATCTTCGTTAGGATAATAATTGCTACGGAATGAAGTTATTCAGATGCATCTTCAGACAGGTGGATGTGGATAAAATAGAGCACTCACATTCACCTACACCCTCAAGATTTTATTCTCAATATACTTCTAGATTGAAATAAAAATTGTTTGTTTTATAAAAAATTTAAAACTGAATGCAAAATTTGTTTAATAGAATTTTTTAATATGTTAAAGTATTGATCAGTATTTCTTGTGTTATAATCATCTTCAATCGTTCTCAAATAACTATCACCATAATAGAAGAATTGTGAGTAATTAAAAAAGATTGATAGTAGTATAGGAAATGTTGTAATGAATAATGCCAATACTATGCTAAATGCGACATGTGGTAATTCTTTTCGAGTGAACATAAAAGAACAACATGCTTGTTCATTTGGATCTTCATCTTTTGAAAGTTTTTTTCTCTCTCGTAATTCATCAATATCATCATAAACGAAAAATCCCGCAAAGATAAGATAAGATGAAACACCAATATAAATTGTAGACATCCAAATATAAATGACAAACATTGGTATGACATTAGTAAGAAAAAAAGGCAGTAAAATACAAGTAACAATAGGAAGTGTTATCACAATGATGATTAATGAAGCATAATAAATAATCCAACGGAAACTACCACGTTTATAATCAGTTGTAATAATCTGTTGAAATCCTTCCATATATATAACATAAATACAATTTAATGCTGTTGAACAATAGGAAACAAATACATAATTGTATAAACGATAACCAAATGCATTATAACAATTCCATGTTGTTGCTAAGGATGATGATCCAAGACATGAAGATTGAATTATACAATACCATATAGAATGACCAAAGATTGATAAACAAGTGATTGCTTCAAAGTAACTGATAGAAATCATACTACGAAGCTTAATAAGACGAGTTTTATCGGCGGTAATACTAGTGTTACTATTAATACTTAAAGATGTTGGATATTTTTGAAATATTCTTATCAAACCAGCAATTTCAAGTGTTGTGAAACAAGTATTGTACCTGAAATAATTGTAAACACGTTGGAAAAATTGTACAACGATTAGTTGAAGAACAACAAGCCAATATGGTTGAATATTAATATCATCAGCAGAAAATGTACCCAGTACTGGATTTACAGATAATGCAGAATTATTATAACTGTTACTCATTATGGGATATATACTTGTTTTTAACTAGAATAAAAGAAAATCTATTGAAAACAATCATATTATAATTAATGATAAATAATTGTTATTATTGAATATTAATTTACATAAATCGCTGAAAAGAATATCAGAATAATCAAGTAAAAAATAAACGTTAAAATATAGTTCGATTAAAGAGTGAAATTAATTGTCGTTTTTGGTGAAAAATAGGTCCTCTACGGGATATGGCTAATGAGAAACAAACTATAAACAGCGAAACACTAATAGTGCGAGACGAAGGAGAGCAAATAAAAGTACAAACATTTTCGTCCAGTTATTAAAAAAACTCTTCAATTTTCTTTCTCTCAAATATTCTGACAGAACGAACAAAAATCTTCAATGTACTTCATTATTTTACACGATTCTGCTCGGTTGACTTAATATTTTCTTTTCTCTCTCTCTCTCTCTTTAATGCCATTTGTATTTAGTTGCATTTTATTTCCTACCATAAAAAGTCTCCAAAACTGCCAAAAATGAAAGTTTAATTCAAAGTGAAAATGTTACATTAGTTTTATTTGATTATATATATCTATGAAGAGCACGAAAGTCTTCATATTTATTAAATAAAAAGATATGAAAAATATCGAAAATTGGTTTGTGTCAGATGAAAGTTTCCTTGAAAATTTCCTTTTGACATTGGTTTAGTTTTCTGAAGAGTAAATCAATCTATATAAGAACTTTTGAAGCTGTGAATCCAATGAATATAAGTTATAGAAGATGTTTGATTTTATATCTTCTTAAGAAAAATTCATCCGAATAACACTTCATTTTTAATCAATCAATCAGTGTCAGACAATGTTCTTTTCTTAGCATAACTAAATTTGTTAAGGAGAAAAAAGCGGATTCTGGCCCCCGATTCCCATAAAATTGTCGTAGTATTGTTCAATTTTTATGTTTTAGTAGATAACACATTAGTACAAGCTTAATGTATATTCTTCTATTTCAGCTTATGTCCGGTATGATATTTATTGAATTCAGCTGGTATCTATATCAATTATTTGGTTTCAAAATTAAAACTCAACAGATTACTGCATAGGTGATAAAGTTTCTAGGCTCAGCAATCCTAAGCCTATCATAGATTGGTTTCTGATGAGTTTGGTTGGGCTCAAACCAGACCACACAAAAGACCTGAGGAGATTCAATTTAATAAAATTACTTGATTTGAAAATAGTTTTTTCTGATTTCATGTCAGAAAATCAAAATAGAAAGATTTTCTTTTTTATTGATGGTTTTTGCCCGCTTTGTAAATAATATTCCTATGTGATACTCGCAGATCATCCTTTTATCTGGAAAAAGTAAAATATTTTAAACTTATTACATTTCAATGATACTATTTATATTGTGCAAAAACACTAAACAGTAATTAGACAAAAAAATTATGGTGTAAATCCCTGTGAAACCGAGGGCTGAGCGGATACGAGTACAAAATGTACTCAGATCAATGCATGTACTCACCGAAATACCTTAGAATTGGTGGTGTACATGATCATGTACTCTCCTATACGTATTGTTATTTACTTATGCGCGCACCCTCATTTGTGTGCTTGCGGTTGTTTTTTTTCTTTAGTTTTGGCTTTGTCATGACTATTGATGTATTTTGTAAGTACATTTTGTATCCGTATCCGCTCATCTATGACATATGCTGTTATTGTCAAGAATATAATGGCCTTTAGAAAAGAAAACGATTGTAATACGTCATAACAATAATCCTTATATAATGATATTCAACTATCAGCAATATTTTCCGCTACTAATAAATCTTCAACAAATCAGTTTTATTTAAAAAAATACATTGTATTTCAATCTTGTCAACATAATTCTATGCCTATTTCTCTACCTAGGACATAAGTTACAAATCAGTGCCAGTTTACATAACATTCGTATCGATGTAGTTCTAATTCAATTTATCTCCTTTCATTGTCTATAATTTCCATTATTTTATATACTTAATTATACAGATCGTCAAACTCAATTCGTATTCTATTGTAAAGTACGATGATACGGTAGTCATAAATTCACTCGGAATACTTGTTTGTATTATCTGTATAAATTCATTTAAATCTGCCTGTTGAAATAAATAGTAATAGTACGCACGTAAAAAAAAGTATTAAAAAAAACACTTTTAAGTACTTGATAGTAACTTTTTTAGATCAAATTTTATACATGGGTTGTGTATGATAGTCATAGTTATTGCATTGAGATGATAATGCATTTATACATTTGGTATGACACTCCAAATTCAAAGCAAAATTTTTTAATAAATACAGAAAAATCTGCAGTAATGCAAGCAAGAGAAACATTATGACAAAATTTGTGAGTCGAGAAAAGAGAGAAAGAAAGAGTAAAGTTAATTCTTTGAAGACGGATGACACTTATATACGTCATCGTTTTTGAATTCGTTGAAATTACAAGATGGCAACTATCTATTTACTATTCTCTTTCATATTACTATAAACTTACAAGACGTATTACATGTATATATATTTGTGATACATTTCAAACAGGAAATGAATTTAATTAAAAATAAATAGTCAATTATTCCAAACGACTTCTTTTTTTCTAATTATTTTTCAAAAAAACAAGCCCGCCGCCAAAGTGTTAAAATACTCTTCTCTATTTATCATCTCTAATAATTCTTCTTATCTTCGTCTCTTCTTCAAATGTCAACAACAGTTAGCGGAACTATATTAAGTTAAAAAAAGAAAGAATATTTTTACTGTTAGAAATTGTTTTTATTAATAGATATTAACGATGTCTAGTTCGGTGATATTAGATCTATCATTTATTCAAAATCAATTTACTCGTTATATGTCATTTGTATTGCTTATTTCTGGAACAATTGGTAATATTCTTAACTGTCTTATTTTCACTCGTTCTTCACTTCGAACGAAGTCCTGTTCAATTTATTTTTTAGCCACTAGTATTGCTAATTTAATAGCACTCTATTTCAGTTGTCTGACACGTAGCTTAATCACTTTTGGTATTTATACAGCACCAAATCAAGGGTTTATCTATTGTAAAGCACGAACATTTCTTACATACATGGCTCTATCAGCATCATCATGGTTTATAGTAGCAGCTTGTGTTGATCGATATGCATCAAGTTCTACTAGTGTTCGTATACGTTCATTTAGTCAAGTCAAAGTTTCTCAACGAACAATTTGTGTTATATTCATCATATTATGTTTTATTTGGGTTCAAATGTTCGTTTGTTTTAATGGAAATTCAGAAGGTACCACTTGTTCTCCAGTGTCTCAATTTTGTAATACATTCAACACTTATAGTTTACTTATTTTTTATGGTCTTCTTCCACCAATGTGCATGTTTTTATTTGGTTGGATGACTATTCAGCATGTACGTCATCGACCAATTAATCGTGCAATAAATATAAAAGATCGTCAACTTACTGTTATGCTTATTGTTCAAGTTTTATTATTTCAAATTTTATCATTACCAATATCTATTCAAAGAATTTATGCACTAATAACTACAAATGAATCGAAAAGTGTAAACCGTATTCAAATAGAAAATTTTATTCTTCAATTTGTTAATTATGCAGCATTTATGAATACTACGACATCATTTTATATGTTTACACTTACGAGTCCATTATTCCGAAAAGAATTAAAGTCTTTACTTTGCTTCTCAAATCGACAACGAGTAAATATTGCACCGATTCAGATAACACAACAAAGAATACAAAGGAATACTATTCCGTCTCGACGGCAACAACAACAACAAGCAATAAAAGACGCTTAATGTATAAATAGAAAAATAAACTATTTAATAATGATATAGATTCTTGACAATATAGTACATATTGAAATTGATTGAATACTTTTCATGATTCTCGTTAAGAAAGCTTATTCTGACGCTCTTTTGTTTATTAAAATTCTGACAGAACATCTGGAATGACGTTTTCCATAGAAGAGATAATCCTCACGGTCAGATTGTATTTTTCTGATAACTTCGGTTCTTGACAAAGCTGCATAAGACGTTATAAAGACAAACACGTCCTATACTACCAAAATTATCGTATCTTTAATAAGATAGAAAAAAAAGAAAATAATTGAAGTATATGAGAATAAAGAAAGGATCATCTTCTATTTTTATTACTATAAAATTCTATAAGCTTGATTTTGAAAGCAATTCATCATTATTTTTCTAATGCAAAAGTCACATTGATATACTTTTTATTTCTTCAATGGAACAATCATCTTTATTGAATAAAAAGAAAAGATGCGATACATGTGTAAAATAGAATAAGTAGAAAATAATGCAACACATTAATATAAAATAAAGTATCAAATATTTTATTTCAAATAAACTATGTTTCATACATTTAGTAAGCAAAAATCAAAGAAGCAGTATTATAAGCGAATAAAAAAATGTCAATATGCATTTAATATATTGTTTTATGCAACACTTGGTAACGGTTGATAAGCATATTTTTTTTCTGTTTCCATCTCGATATCGATAATGTTTCTCGATACCATTGGTGCTGATGGTTCCGACGCTAAAAGTGATCCATTATGCTCATTTTTTCCAGTAAAACATTGAATACTTCGTTGATGTATCATTTCACTCAGTCGTTCTTCGAATTCATTAGCAATTGTCTTTTGAAATATTATCGTTTCCGAACCAAAAGAACCTTTAAATGTAATATATCTGTTTTGATTAGAACACCATAAAAAAATAAAGATGACCACGTCGACAATGGTAACTAGCGTACCCAACGATTGAAATGATATTAGCCCAAAAACAAATCCATATATCATGGAAATAATTCCTGCTACTAGCACAAATATCATGAAGAAAATTGCTAGACTTGCATCGGAACGCATATCATCGATGCGATCAATTGAATCGAGTCTTATTGAAGAATAAGAAGAACGAGTAAAACAACCGCAAATTGTTCCTTGCCAACGAATTAAGAGCCGATAATTAGTAAGAATTACTATTGCTTTCGTCATCCGAGAATGATCAGTACCTCTGTATTTGCCCACAATTATTTCGTCACCCGATAAAGCAGGAAAAACAGTATCGTTGTCCATTCGTAATCTAAATAATAATTGTTATGAATACGATTACGATATTAAAAAAATTGACTAACAAGCGTATTTCTATAGTATTTTATCGTGCGACTCTCCTAAAGAATTTATGCCAAATAATCACTATGCTATGCAGTTCATATTCCTTATTCATTTCTCTCTAGAAAGTAGTTAATTAAGAAATAACCGAAACAATATAAATTCTGAGTATGATTGGATTTTTCTGAACATATTCTTTCTTAATATATTTATTCTTATTTTATTATTTTACTTGTTATCTATTACTTACTTTAAATTATAAATCCTTTGTTGTATGTTTTTGCAATGTCGACACTCTTATTGAAGAAAATACTACTTCTGTCTCACTCAATTTTCACTTTTTTTTATTTAGAAATGATAAAAATAGAGAAAGGAAGGAAAGTAACAAATGAGAAGAAAAAACATATAATGGCATCAAATATCTCTCATGAAATACGATTCCTTCCTCTTCTTCGAAAAAAACAACAACATTTGGAATGAAGAACAAAAGTCATAGCTGGTAGTTGTTCGAATTCACTGAGACTATACGCGTGTTATTTTTCATATGCTCGTTTCTATTCTTACAGATGAGGATGAGTCATTGTATATTTCAAAGATGTAGGTATATGTAGATATTATATTAGTGGTAACTTGGAAACGTTCTTATACAAGAATTAAATCAATATCTACATGAATCCAAAGATTTATAACGATTTTTGTTTGTCCTCACCAGAGCTGCCAGCCAGGCCAGGCACCTGGCAGGCGCCTGGTGGCCAGGCTCCAGGCCAGGCACCTGGCAGGCGCCTGGTGGCCAGGCTCCAGGCCAGGCCGGATTTTGACAATTTGGCCTGGCCTGATGCCGTCCAGGCAATACATCTAGCCTGGTGCAGGCCAGGCCAGGCCGAAAATGTTAGCCTGGCCGAAAAATTATATTATTTTCTCCAGTAATTATCTTGAGACATTAGATGTTTGCCACAATTGGCTAAACAAATTTACAGTATTCCAGCTACTAGTGCTGGAATAGAGAGACAATTTAGTATTACTGGACTTATATTGACAAGTAGAAAACTTGTTTAGATCCTCAACAACTCGATAATGTGATTTTTTGTATTCATAGTGTTGCTAAATTGGATAATCACATGTGAATATTTTTTCTTGTCGCTATCACTCGTCCTTATTCTTTACAACTTATTTATG